ACACAGTGATCGGCAAGTCACTGCCAAACAGCAGTTTTGGTTGCCTGGAGCTTCCCCGCATTTCCATCGCCCCTTTTCTGGGCGGATGTCGGCTATCATCAAGGTTCAGACTAAGATAGGCTACCGATGTAAAATGAGAGTACATGACTATCTTGCGTTGCATTTGGGAGGCTGCCCTGCATGGAGGGCCCCGAGAATGAAAAACCGTCCGAGAATCGCCGTTTCCTTCCATTGAATGCCCATTGTGGCTGGTCGTGCTCTATGCCATGCCGTTCTTCGTGGTCTTTGTGTTATCTCGGAGCTGAGATGGTCGACGGATCGACTATCAGGGCTTATCATGTCCCGCATAGACTTTCCTAATTGGGATGTGGCAAAGTGCTTAGCTGGTCATTGCTCCTATTCACGAAGGCTCTTCTTATCTTGGGGTTGTGCAGCTGATGACTGGATGCCAGTATGCAATTGAATTGTGTACGTGCTGGGCGAATTAACCGTGGTCCTATAGCATAGAAGCAGTATAGTATAGAATTGCTTTTAGTGTGCATTATTCCCTCGCAGCGTTGTTGTTACTCTTTGTTGATAGTGGACATGTACGGAGTAAACCCTATGAGTTCCATGGCTCCAAGGCTCAATCAATCAAGATTGAAGGGAAAAATAGGACTATCCCCACTTAGGATGTCCTGCCGAGAAGATTAACACGAAAAACCCCGCAAATTTTTTAATTACGGGTCGGAGTGAAAAAAAAAAAAGGAGTGCCCAACGTCACAATTCAAGACCACGACTTATCAAAAATCTCGCCTATCAATGACTGATGGGCCTCTCAGCCATGACCAATTCCACTAATTAAACTCTTGATAACCTTCTGCACCATTTCCCCCCGACGAATGGTTTCTGTCTAAGTGAGGGGGTCCGAAAACGTCCGGGGCCAAAGCAGACGCAGCTTCCTTACTTCCCCTCATCGTGTACGACCGCATTTTGATATATGAACCCCTGGGGTCAGCATCCAGGAATACCCCCGAAAAAAAAAAGTACGCGCAGAAAATGGACAGTTGCGAGCACCACTTGCCCAGTGAACTGAACCATCCACCTCTCGGCTGAAACCCTCATCATTTTACTCGCACGCGATCAAATTTCCGTATGGACCTAGAATCCAACTCCCAGCCCATCAAACCGCACTCGGTCGACCAAGATGTGCAAGATGCTCACGATCTCGCTGCGATGGGCCACGACCAGGCTCTCACTCGCAAATTCGACATGTGGAGCATGTTAGCCTTGGCATTTTGCGTCCTGGGTAAGAACCTTTATCAGCCGCTGTGTACGATTATTGACAAAGGAGCACAGGAACATACTCGACCTTTGCGCAGGATCTGAGCAGTGGCCTGACCAACGGCGGCGCAGTAGCCATCCTGTGGGGTCTGTGTCTAGTCACAGCATGTAACCTCTGTGTCGCCGTATCTCTTGGCGAGCTCGCCAGTAGCATGCCGACCGCGCTAGGTCAGGCTTACTGGGTATTTCGACTGTGGGAGACACCCCTAGGTCGCTTTGCCTCATACATGTGCGCGTGGATCAACACCTTCGGGTGGTGGACATTGACTGCATCACAGGTCGCTTTCATGACTGAGTTCCTTCTCGGCATGAAAGTCATGTTCGAACCCTCGTGGGAGGGTGCCGGAATTGGATGGGTACAATTCCTCGTCTACATCGGCTGTGTTTTCGTCCTGACGGCCATCAATGTGGTGGGCTGTCGGAGAGAGAAAATTCTTCCGTGGGTCAACAATTTCGTCGGAGTGTGGTTCACCGCGCTGTTCGTCATCTTGTCGCTAGCTTTGCTCATTTCGGTCGGAACGAAAGACGACCTATCTTTCCAGCCGGCATCGTTCGTCTTTGGCAGGTGGATGAATCAGACTGGGTGGAGCGACGGCGTGGTGTGGTTTACAGGACTGGTCCAAGCCGCTTACGGTCTGACAGCTTTCGACGCGGTCATTCATATGGTCGAGGAGATCCCTGCGCCCCGAAAGAACGCCCCCAGAGTCATATGGCTGGCTGTGCTACTCGGCGCGATCACCGGTTTTATCTTCATGATCGTCTGCCTCTTCTGTATCCAAAATGTGGACCGGGTGGTCGACTCACCCAGCGGGCTACCCTTCATTGAACTAATGCTAGAGACGGTCGGCTTGAAAGGCGGCGCAACATTGATCGCATTATTTATCTTCAATGGCCTCGGACAAGGCATCAGTATCCTAACGACCGCGTCTCGACTGACGTGGGGCTTCGCGCGCGACGGCGGACTCCCCTGGAGCGGATATCTCAGCCACGTGGATCCGGTGTGGAAAGTGCCCGCGCGGTCACTCTGGTTCCAAGGCGTTCTGATCGCCTTGATCGGAATTCTATATCTCTTCGCAAATACCGTGCTCGACGCTATTTTGAGCGTGAGTACTATCGCGCTGACCATCTCCTACGGCCTGCCGATTGCCGCCCTACTGGTCGTGGGTCGGGATAAGCTCCCACCGGGTCAATTCCACCTGGGGCGCTGGGGCAAACCTGTCAATTGGGTTAGCATTATTTACTGCGCCATCACAACGGTATTCTTTTTCTTCCCTGGTTCACCGAATCCACCGGCGGGCGATATGAATTACGCCATTGCAGTGTTTGGAGTCATGTTGGTGGTGGCGATTGGCTTTTGGTTTATTCAGGGAAATCGCACTTATCTGAAAACGGAGGATGCCATCGCGCAGATGGTCGTCGCGCAGCAGTTGGAGAGCGATGGGGGTAACGAGTCGGATTTGAAGAAGAAATAGTTGGATTTGAATAGGTTACACTGCATTGCACTGTTGCTTTTTTTTTAAAAGAACAGGATAGGAACAGAGACTATCACAATACCTGATTAGGCTGTATTCTGTCTTACTGTCTTAACCGTTGTACTAGTTCGGCCTACGTAGTATTTTGCTGTTCTGCCAGTGGCAAGGCCTTAAATTTATTTTTAACGGCCGTCAATATCCAGACCTTCAATTGGGCATCATAGCTTTCACAAGCGTATCGCGTGACCGAGCATTGGTCGCGGCCCTCTTATATACCCCGTACAAGCCCTCGACCAACATTTTCTACTAGTACAGGGATGTCCAACTCGGGGACCACTTACTCTGCATAGACAGTCAACAGTTAGCATCACATTCGATGTACCACCACAATCTGAGGCTCTGAATCGGGCAGAGATCCACTCTAGCCCTACCCACATTCTATGCAAACTACAGGAAAACATATATACTCCACCCTATTAAAAAGCTTAAAGACGCCTTGCTCATGGAGTACAACATAAACAAGCACTCACAGACCTCCTCTGAACAACTCAGACTCAATCTAATAGCCTTCACTGACTCGTTTAATACGATTCCCCTCCCCTTCAAAAGACAAAGAACACAGAAAACCTGACTAGTAACAAACTCCCAATACGAGCTCCCAAATAAACGAACGGAGGTAATTCCCCTTTCGTATAGGGATCTACCGCTACAATCCACTGAGATACGACCTTATCCTGACGAGGTGGGCCGCGCCAAGGTCAAATACGAGAGATTCAAACCTGGTATTTAGAATCAGGCACTGCAAATTTGGAGGCTGAAAAGACTTAAATATGTCTGTGGGCGTGAAACTGGGCTTTGCTTTTTCTTTTTTTTACTTTTATGAGATTTGACTCGTGGAATTTATTTGTTGATATAGGTTGTTAATGTAGTATATATATATTTTTTTTTGAAACGGAACAATGCGCTTCACCGGAACTATACCCCTCTTCCTCGCGACTGCGGCATTCTATAGCCAATGCGCGGCGAAGGCTAACGAGGAAAAGGCACTCAGGGTCCCGATCATTCCGTCTAGGAAGGACTTTACGCCGATTGAAGAAGCGAGTCTCGAGAAAAGAGAGACATGTGCCGATGGCTCGAGGTGTCTGTTCGGTGTTTGCTGTGGCGATGGGTGTGCGCCGAAATGCTGTGCTCATGATGCTGGAGGTGGTGAGCTATCTATCTTCCCTACGTTCTGTCTAATTTATGCATCTGAGGATGAACTTTTGGGAATGTGGTAAAAGGGCACCTTGGCTAATGGGGGGGGGAAACAGTCGGGTGTAATCTCATAGAACGCTGCCAGTTCAGTGGAAACGTTTTTATCGGGTGTTGTGGGAATATCATTGGGTTTGTTCTCCCTTTCCCTTTACTACTCTACCGACAGTATATACATATATATGTGTGAGTTTGTGCTGATTGGAGAAAATAGAGGATGCACCGGTGAAGCTACAAGGATAACCGTGCATACGCCCTACGCTAGTACGATGTTTGATACTCAGGCTACGACTACGGAGGCTACGACGACGACTGCTACAGGTACAACGGGTAGATATACGCGCACGACTTCGACTTCGACCTCGACTTCTTCCGATACGTCTAGTACTGAGAGTTCGAGCGCGGATGAATCAAGCAGCTCCCGTTCTAGTTCTGCAGCGTCTAGAACGACGTCGGCTACGCAGACTCGTTCTACATCTAGATCCGACAATGTCGATACCCGGGAGGCGAACGATAGTGTTACTTCTGCTGCTGGTACTGCTACTTCCACTTTTGCGCAGAGTGGCGGGGAGGAGACGAGCTCGGGTAATGTTGCCCCTGCTGTTACGCGATTTGCAGGGTTGGAGTTCGGGGCTGTTGCTGTTGGAGCGTTGTTGGTTTTGTAGGGAGTAATATATAAATAGCGATACGTAGGGAATGGGGAAATTAGTATTGATACTGGGGGTGAATTATATATGATTTATGATGGAGCTGTACAGTACATGTTAGTGGATGTATGTAGATAACTTATCGAGCAAATTGAATACCGTTCACATACCAAAAAAGCGTCACGACTCTAGATGCATCTATTAAGCGCTTCGTATAGTTAGTTCTAATGTTTATGCTTGTGGTTTTTGTTGTGGATAATGGTAAAGATTTGTGAAAGCATAGCTTTGCTGACAAACATCAAACTGGGGTTGCGTGGTGTAATGGCTATCACTCGAGGTTTTGATCCTCGCAATCGGGGTTCGATCCCCCGCGCGACCTATATTCCTTTTTGTTAACCAATATTTTTTAGTCCAAGGTAAGTCCTGAGCCTTAAGGGTATGTATTTTAGAGACAAACATCAAGTTGCGGTTGCGTGGTGTAATGGCTATCACTCGAGGTTTTGATCCTCGCAATCGGGGTTCGATCCCCCGCGCGACCTATTTCTTTTGCTGACCTAATTTTTAGGTCTGGGATTCAGGAGGTGGATATCCACTGATCCCGGATAATATATGCCCAGCGATTATTAAAAGGGCACTGCAGTATATGTTTAATGCTATTTTCAGATACGAAGATGAACTAAGTAGCCTAGATTCAAAACCTCAAAAAGAATAATTTATTGATTCATGAGATATTACATCGAAGCGTATCTAACTGAAGGTATATACGTATACCTACCATTCATACCCGAAATCTACACCAGGAATTTTTTACTCAAAAGGGCAAGCTTAACCAGCTTGCCGAAGTCGGGCGTTCCCAGACCAGTAACCGGGTCCCAACCCTTAGTAGCGTTCCAGCTAGCATAAGGCACAACGGGGCCGCCGTCAGCTTTACCACCGAAGCGAGACTTACCGTCACAGCCGGTGCTACCACCGTGGACGATATCGTTCAAGCCATGACGGCCACCCTTGTAGAGCCAAGGGTTCAAGAACCCGAGGGTGGGCTTGCCGGCGCGGAGCCGGGCATCATTCAGCAGAGCCACGATGGCGCTGAAGGCCGGGGCGGAGGCGGAGGTGCCGCTGAACTGGCCTAGTGCACCCTTGTCGTAGACGGCGAAATCGACACCCTGGGCGGAGACGTCGGGGAAGGCACGACCTGTCTCGTTGTACAGACCTTCGTATCTGTCGCCGAGAGTCTCGAGATAGCTGCTGACGGCCTCGTTCTGCCAGTCGGGGCGGCCCCAGTAGTCAGAGAAACCGCCGGAGGAGAAGTAGACGGCGCGCTCGGGGTTGGTCTTGTAGGTGGCGCCGACGGAGGTGACCCATGGGCAGGAGGCGGGGAACTGAGGAGGGAAGTGGGTGGTGTTGGTGCCGTCGTTGGTCAGGCAGCCTGCGCCGATGCCAGAGTCACCGGAGGAGAAGAGGACAGATACACCGCGGCTGCCGAGCTGGGCGATGAGGTTGCAGACGGTGCGGGCGTACTTCTCGGGGATTTCCTGGGGAAGGACTTAGCATGTGTTACTAGAGATGTATAGTGAGCTAAGTTGCTTACCTGCTCGTTCTCGCCGTAGGAGGTGGAGATGACCTGGGGAAGGTCCTTCTGATCCAGCTTGAGGACATTCTGGAAGAACTCGAGGTAGGGCTCGTTGCTGTTCTTATTGGGGTCGGGCTGGGTTAGGTCGGGGATGAGCGGACCGCGGCCGCCGGTGCTGAATTCAGTGACGGGCAAGTTGGCGCTGAGACCGACGATGTATTGAAGGTCCAGGTTGGCCTCACCGCTGTCGCTGTTGGAGTTCTGGTCATTGAGACCGCCGTTGAACTGGGTCACGGAGAAGTTCAGGCCCTTGGCCCAGGGAGCAATGTTCTGCTCGAACTTCTCCAAGTCATTGTAGCGCGCGTACTCCTCCAGATAACTGGCGAAAGCAACCTTGCTTCCCGAGTGGGGATCGGGCTGGTAGTCACCAACGTTGTAGAGCTCCTTCAGGCAAGTAGGGGTGATGACGGAATCACAATGCGAACTGTTCTTAGCCAGAATAGCAGCGCTGAGGGTGGTCTCGTCGATCTGGGAAGGCTTGCTGTGGAGGATAGCACCGTTCTGGGTAATCTTTCCAAAACGGGTGGTAGGCTGGATGGTGTTGACATGGGAAGCCACCGAGTCAGGGATGGAGTACTGCAGTGTCCTGAGGCGGCGGACGTTCTTGACATCGCTAACATAATACTTGAAGTTGGCGTGCAGCAGTGCATTGGCCTGGTCAACTGTAGCACGAATGTTGATCCAGTCGGCATCCTGCTTAACGTCGGTGATGCCGGCGGATTTGAGCCACGCCTGGACGGCATCGACTGTGGTGTCGGTGGGGAGAAGCATCCGCTTCATTTCGTCATGGGTCGTGAAGTGGTTGCCATAGCTTGGGTGGTCGGGGTCCGACATCTCCAAGAGGGCCTTCTCGAAGCTAGCAACATCGTGCTGCGCGAGAGCGATCTTGAGGTCAACAGGCGTGTCACCCTTGGGGGTACTCGAGTAACGCCAGCCTAGCAATAGATTAGCACTGAAGTCGAATACCAATAGACATATTCTCCGTCTACAAGAACAATGTCAGGCGATGAATACCTTTCGGAACAGCAGACAGCTTCTCAAAGACCTCCGCCGATGCGGAGGTGCTGAGCAGCGAAAGCACTGCGAGCGAGAGAGCCCCACGGCTGAAGAGAGATGTCCACATGGTGAAATGACTCCCCTAGGTTCAATGGCGGGCAAGGGACAAGGGCTGCTGAGGGGAAGGGGATGAAGCTGTAAGCGGAATGTGGAAAGTATTTATTTTGCGGCTGGAAAACCAGCCATCGCGTGATTGTTATCGACTATGGGGATTGGAGCCTGCAATTACACTGATAGTCAACTGTATGCATACCACAGATCAATCAATGAACCGGACGTCCGTCGGGACCGTCAAGACCAAACCAGCATGATTGGATGAACTCAATGGGATCTAGTCCGACAGGCAACTCATAGTTACATGGCGCGAGGCAGGAAATGGCCTTCTGGCTTATCAAAGGGCAGGCCGAGCGACGATCGTCAGGGGATGTGGAACCCATTTTTCTAACTAGGAATAAGCCACCGCAGCTATGGAACTTGGCCCAAGACACGATAACAAGGACGCCGTACCATCGACGGTGGTGATATCACCAATACAGTCTGACGGACGGGGAATGTTCTTAGCATCGTATATGCCGTCCTCCTCCAATTTACATATAAAGCATGCAATTGCTAGGGTTTCACTTTGGTTGAGTATGTTCCACTTTTGGCCCAATGTTTGTTTGTGTGGTTTGCACCTCAGGTGCCAAGACCAATACAACTCAAAAAGTCCTATTATTTATCCAATGCTATTGTTTTTATTTTTATTTTCTTTTTTTAATCTTTGTTCCCGACTTAAATAAAAACAACAAATGATATCAATTGCCTTGTCTTGAATGGAGACCACAATCAACCTTGACCAAGGTACAGTAAAATCTCCTTGGGTAACTGGCCAATGTAACCTAGATTGCGATTGACCAACAATTGAGTGCAGAACTCCGCATTATTCAGACCTGCCATGGAAACTGATGGTTTAACGACTCCATCCGTTTGCCACACTAAGGGATCTTGGGCTAAGCTTCTTCCGTACAAGCACCGCCCAGCCGAGGCTTCTTTGCTGCCGAGAAAAGCCAGACTCTATCATTTATATTAATTGAAAAGTACCCGATACTGTCATTGCTACATCTTTATCAAGAAGGCGTGATCTTATTAGGTAATAGGTAAACCACTCACACTAAATTGACAAGTGAAGCATTCCCTTACCTCTGTAAATGAGGTAATACACCCCAGACCGCCAGGTGAAGACTGCACCACCCCATGCTTGATGTAATACCTAACCTTACATAAAACCACATAAGGCCGAACGCACGGCTAAAGAGAAAGAAACCCTAGTTTAGCCCCGCCCCTACTACCATATACAAGGACTTTTGGTTACTCATAGCATGCGCACTATTCTTATGAATTGACATCATGGTCTAGATAAATTATCCAGGGCAACAGTGCAGAGGGGTGGAGCGTCAACGGTGGGAACGAATAGATAACGGAACTATTTCCGTGGCTGGATTACCATGGAGACGCTAGGAAGCCGGGGTTATCAGCAACCTTACAGAGGGCAGATAACCCTGGTCATTCAGTGTTATTTTAATTTTTTTTTTCTTTATCCTTTGAACTAAAGGCGGGGGTTGCGTTCTTGATATATCAGGCAACAATGTTTAAGGCTGCTCCGGATTCTAGCTAGTCATCATGCAAATTTCTAACAAATAGAGAAATTATATGTCGGGATTACGATATTCCCATTGACATAATTCAGTTGAGAAAAAGTACAAGAGTACGATTACCGTATTATCGAACTACTACTCAGTGGTTGCTTTGCGTCATCTTGGTCATGCTCACCCTCTAGTGAATTCGCACACTAGGATAACTATAGCGCTATCTAGATAGATAGCAGCTTGGATATATATTTTTCCACCAGAAACTCACATTGGTCAGTACGAACATACCTCATGTATGCACGTTGTTTAATTTACCTCACCGAACTAACTAACACTCTTCTTGGCCGGGGGCAAAATTTGCATGATACTGGGGCGATTTAGGGTATATGCAGTCTAGGATATTTCAACCTTCCGAGCTGGTGTTGTACTGGGTGTGCTTTGTCCTCTTTTGTATGTGCCTCAGCAGTAATCTGCCCTTCTCAAGCAACTTTTGCCATCTTCATATGATGGAAGCCATGAAGCTGAGTCCAGGCCATAACGCCGGGGCTTATTTGACAGTTTGCATGTGTCTCCCAAGATGCTACTGGCGAAGGACGGTCTTGAAGTCAGTAGGAGGCTGATATTCCAAGCTCCACAGTCTATGCTGGACATTCGTAGACCTATCTGGTCACCATTTCTCTGCTAGCGTTGCTCATTTGATCAAGTATTCTATCAGGCCCCCTAGATAATCCGTCATAAGAGATCCGTACGGTATCCGCACGTCCATCCACTAGAACCTATCCTCTATCATATCTTGTGATCATAAGCGGTTCGTGGGACTAGGAATGCCAGAATCTCAAGCTAATGCCGCTCAAATAGTCTCAACAGGAAAAGGTGAGCACATTTTAGTGAAGAACTATATTCCTCCCTCATGGCGAATCATTAAGTTACCCGCATTCATTCTTCGCTTCTCCTTTTGGATACATCATAAATCATTACTAAAAGTTAGTTGATAGTGCTATCCGACGTCACTACGACAAGCGTTGTACCTCTCTCTGTCCAGCAACTCAGGTTACGATTCCTCTA